GGGCTGCTTGGATGTGAGCCTCCACCCCCTGTTGTGCAGTGGCCAGAGCCAGGCCTGTGGGGGAAAATGTGTATCGAGGTGCGAGGGCAGCATCTCACATGATGAGGAGTCCCTGGCCCACAGTGGGAACTGGGGATGACCACTGCACATGATGTACAGAAGAGTGTGCAGGAATCTCCCAGGAGTGTACAGAGAAGGCACAGAGATAGTGAGCAGACACCAGACTCCTGCTAGGCCTTCTTGGCCAGGGGCACAGCCCCACTGTCCACTTTGTTTCAGGGTCGATGGTTCTCTGAAGCTGAAAGCACAAAGTATCATGCCTTAATTATTTGTCAAAACTTGACTATTGCACATATGTTTCCCCACAGGGAAGAAGAGTTCAAAAACTAATCAAATTAAAAGAGTATCAGTTCTGGACAAAATCCTTCAAAATACAGAAAGAACTTCAGGTAATTGAACTAATAGATCAATGTGTCCATGTTCTGAGATTTCCCTAGGGATGAAGAAAAGTAAATGCCTATTCTGGATGGTGTATCTCTACACAGCTCCAGGGATAGGCTGAGCTGATGGAGTCCCATTGTGGCTGTGTCACCAAAGAAGCGCTCTTAGCCCAGAGTGACCAGAGCTCTGCAGGCCACCCCACACCCTCATAGTGGCCTCACTGGGGCAGCAGGTGTTGGCCCTATGTGACCAGGCTGGGGGAGGCCTCACATCCCTGTCAGGTGACCCTGCTGGCTGAGTCTCCTCCACATCCTCAGGCCCCACCTTCCCACCCTATTCCAGATGCTGCACTGCTTCCTAACTGCCAGACAGTTGGCCCATGCAGACCCTGTGACTTCTACCCCACCCCAGGATTCTCTGTGGAGCTTTCCAGAACACCTCCAAGCCAATCCTTCATGGGCAAGCAGCCTCCAGTCCTCCCAGCCTCTCTAATGTGGACATGGCAGTCTCCTGAATGTGATGCCATGCTGGGCTCAGAGCTCACCCCCAGCACTCTGTACACCACACACCTGTTTACATACCACATGCATGTGTGTATATCACGCACCTGACTGCACTCCACATGCTTGTTTGTACCCTACACACCTGGGTGCATACCACATGCCTGAGTACACATCAAATGCCTGTGTGTACATCACACATCTGTCTGAACACCACCTCCTTGCCTGCACACCACACCCCTGTGTGTAGTTCACCCTGTAGGCACACCCTCCATGTGCGCACCACATGCCTGTCTGCCCAGCCTGGCATTCAGCACTTTTGAAGACATGTCTCACCGTTAATTTCAGGCTGACATTGACAAATGAACTATTGCTGAGCCAAACACAGTTGTCCCTTTTTATAGACTTGAGACATTTAAATCGAATATTTCATTCAACTTTCACTGGATGTTGATGGAATGCCTATCCCCAGCCAGGCACAATTCTGAGTTCTTGGGAGTTACCCCCAGGGGCAGGAACCTCTGCCTGGGGAGCTGCACACCATGGACAGTGGGTGTTCCTCCCTCCCACTGAGACAGTTCCTCTGTCTGTCCGTTGCTGCTCCCAGCCCCTGATGGCCCACAGTGTGGCTGGCAGCTGCCAGTTTGTCCTTTGTTTAAAATGCTGACCAGGACAGTCTCATGACACATCACAAAGACCTCCCTGCTGCACAAGTTGTCATCAGTCCCAGGCCAAGAGATGCTCTGACCCCCACACTGCCTTTGTGGAGCAATGAAATCCTACGCCACTCAGCAGCCCAGGTGTGCCTATCTCTTGGCAGAGATAGATGTGTGGTGTGCAGACAGACATGTGGTATGTGCCCAGGTGTGTGGTGCACATATGGACATGTGGTGTGCAGACAGGCATGTGGTGTACACATAGGCATATAGTGCACAGAGAGGCATGTGGTGTGCAGACAGGGGTGTGATGTTCAGACAGGAGAGTGGTGTGCAGACAGGCGTGTGGTGTACATCCCTCAGCAATGCAGGCAAGGCAGTTAGTGGCTATCTCACCTGCTGCACATTCTCAGGCTGTGCTGTCATACAGGACAATTTTGCTGCTTTAGATACTGTCCCAAAAGAGATAATACAGCCCCAGTCCCCTACAGCTCAAATGTTGGGAGGCAGAGCCTCTGGCTTGATTAGGCTCCTGCCATCCAACAGGCACCTCAAGGCTCTTTGAGTGACAGTGGGGACTGGCAGGACATGGGTCCCTGGGCAGTACTGGGGCATCACAGGGACAACCTCCAATGAGCTGCCTGTGAGGGGAGGAGAGAGGACATGCCCCACCTGCCACGCCCCGAGTCCTCTGGTAGGCTCTGGGGGACCATAGCCACCTGACTCAGCTAGCAACTCCAGTTGTCCTCTGCCCAGGACCATCCTGACAGCCTCCACCCATGCACCCTCCTGTCCTTGATACATCCCCTGTGCCCCTCCCCAGCACCACAGCATCAAAACTCTGGGCAAGGCACCACACAGACCTGGGTGCACACTGTTCGGCTAGATTCTGAACAGGGATTCAGTGTGGCAGCCCCCTCTGGATGGCCTTCTTGGTATTACTGACCCATGAGGGGTGACCTGCAGACACCTTTATGGGAGAGAAGCGGGAAAGACTATCTGCTGTGGAACATGTGTGTCCACACAGCACCTGCAATGACACTCCTCACACACCAGCAACACTGGACACTGGTGTCAGGTTTCTCTGGGAGCTGTGGAGACAGGGAGTGGATACTTAGAATTTCTAAAGAAAATCTCCTCTTTCCAAACAGAAGTGAAGGACCATGCTCAGAAGCAGAGCTCAGAGAGCCAGTGAGGCCACAGTGGCGAGGCCCCAAGCAGGAGCCAAAAGCTGCCCCATACCCCTAGGAATAAAAGCACATATGCATACCCACGTGTGTCCTTGGCCATTCCATATGAAGGAGACTTGTCTCATTCACCCCAACTGAAGTTGGTTTATTCAAGTGTCCAGCTAGAGGGTCTGTGGGTGCCTTGATTTTTTTAAAAGGTAACAAGAAAGAAAATATTGAGCTTGCAATAAGAGCATCAGAAGATTGTTTGTCTACAGGAAACACAACCTCAGAACTTGTGAAGAATTCGTCCATGAGGAATCTCCACCCCAGACAATGAACACGTGCACACATGAAAAACACACATACCAGAACTCTCGCTATGAGGGAGTGGTGCCAGGCTAGGGAAGGCGCGTCCACCTGTGTGCCTTGGGGGTAGCAGTCAGCACCGTGGGACAGGAGGTGGCCATCAGCACTGGGGCTATCCAAACAGTGGCATCTCCGGGGGGGGGGGGGTAGTGTGTGTGACCAGGACACATCTTTGAACAAGTTTTGTTATCCGAACTGATTCTGTGGGCAGACTACAGTCTTTTCTTAACTCCTTGAGGTGACCAGGTTGTAAACAGTCAAGACAAATATGATTTCCTGTTTCTCCAGAAAGGCAGGGCAGGGAAGCTCATACATCCTGTCTTGGAACAGTGTCAGGTAAAGAACTCCTGATTGCTTCTTGCAGCCCTTGCACGGGTTAAGATTCTTTCTCAAGGGCTATTTCAAAGGCAGATGAAAAGTAAATTAATACATGCCACTTTATTTGTAATCCTGGGCTGTGCCCTTTTTTTAAAAGAAGAATGCAGGATCAGAGAATGTTTGTGCTGGAACATTCCAGCCTTTAATATGACCCTTGACTCCAGATGGAAAACTAAGGCAGGGAGGACACATTGACTTGACAGTCACCTGGTCAGTTGGTAGCAGTGCAGGGTACAAATATTTCTGCCTCCACGTTATCCCACTACCCCACTCTGCAGCCCCTTCACCAACACATGGGCATCTGAGTTCCCTCCTTTCTCTGTGTGTGTACAGATTTCATTTATTGCTGTGTGTTTGAATGTCACAAAACACTTTTAGAGTATTCTGTGGTCCACAGCTGTCTCCATGCATATATGCCACTGAGTCCTAGAGCCACACAGGGAGGTGGCACCACCTCCACTGCCCATAAGCGCATCTGGGGCTCAGAGATGCTAGTGGCCTGCTCATTGCCACACCATCCTGTGGCCTGCAGCAGGCCCAGGGCTCAATCCCAGGCCAGGCCCTTCCTGCTGGATGCATTGATAGTCGCCAGCATCCTCGTTCTGTTGCTTATGTCCCCAGGGGAACTGGCAGAGCAGATTTGTGTGAGTTGTAAGGTCAGAAAACTTAAAAGCATTGTTGACTGGACCACATTTTATCCTCACTCCATCCTGTTCACATGAGATCCTTCATTACATAAACTCTGAAGCTGAGAGTTGGATGATTTAGTAGTTTGACAACATCAAAACATCTCTCTCAGGGATGGCACCAAAAACAGCTAATGGGAAACTTGGGGAATCAAGGTTGCCAAGAGCTGTGGAGAGTTCTTGCACCCTCAAGTGTCCCAGGAGACACACAGTTGCTGCTTTCAGGAGGTTTAAAAGATAGTTGAAAACTAAATTTATGAGTAAAACCATAAATATTAATACTAGCTAGAAAAAAACAAGGGATGGATTGGCTTGCAGACATGTGAAAGACGTGTCCCTGAGGGGACAGCAAGGCTTCCACTGGCCCAGCAGCAGCTGATTGAGTGGGCATTCCAGGGAGAGTAAATAGTGTCCCCAAAGATGTGGGGCAGGGGGCAGTGAATGTGGGGCCACAGTGTTCCCATCCTATATACTAAGGGTTGGGAAAAAATGCTGAAAAATACTTATCTCTTCTGTATGATTTCAGTTTTTCTAAATGTATTCAGATTCAAACTTGCTTAATGGTTTCATACATGGCCAATTTCGGTAAATAATCCATTTGGAACTTGAGGGGAACAGGTATGCTGTAGTCTTTGGGTGCAGTGTCTCACAAAGTTGATGAGGTCAGGTTATTTGTGTGGTTTAAATTCTTTACTGATTGCTTTTTTGTGTGCTACCAAGCGAAGTCTGTTGAAGTCCCAAACTATGAGGGTTTATTCCTTTAGTTATGTCAATTTTACTTTGTATATTTCAAAGCTATGTTATAGATTCCTAAAGACTAAATTATTATCTATTTCTGGTGGATTTAACCCTTACTGTTATGAAATGTTCCTCTTTATCTGTATCATTTCTTCTTGCATATGTACTTTGTCTGATATTAATATGGCCACACTAACTTTCTTTTGGTAAATATTTACAAGGGGTGTCATTTTCCACCCAATTACTTTCAACTTTTACCTAACATCTATCCTTTTAGGAAATACATGGAAGAACTTTTTCTAAAAATCTAATCTTCTTATCTTTTACTTGGAATATTCCATCCATTTACAATAAATGTAATTAGTGATATAGCTGGATTTGTACACGCCATCTATTTGTTTTTTGTTCACCTGACATGCCTAAAGTGTCATTTTTCTCATCTTGTTTAGAATAAGAATTTTCGATTTCACTTTTTTATTATATTGCTAACTATATAATCCTTTAATATTATCATAAAGGT